AATCTTTTTTTAAAACATTTTTTTATGAGATATCAATATTGCACTAACTTTGCTTTACTGTGGCAAGAATATTTCAGAAACAAATTGATCAAAACTTATCATATTTGAATAGTTTGATGATTATGCATCAAATTGTGCAATGAACCTCAAAATTATATGAATGTAAAAGTTAAAAATAAAATATAACGATTTTTTTATGATGAGTTAAAAATAACATTTTTTTTTGCATTCTTTAAAGAAACAAAGCACGACACCGCGGAATTGGAAGTTCACGCTTCCTTCCATACCAATAATGCGAAATATTCCCAGAGCTCGTTTCGAACCCTAGATTTCTTCCTTCTAAAGTAAACGCTCCATAGTGGGGCAAAATGGCTTCAAAACTGAACATTTGACGTTATGAAACATTTTTTGGTGGCAATGTTTAAAAGAGTCTTTGGTCCATCTTATCCACGTAGAACTGACCTTTAACCCTGTAGAACCCATAATCTAGCTCAATTCTTTTGTTTAAAAAATGAGTAACTTGTGCAAGTTTTTGTTTTAAAGCTGAAGTTTGTTAAAAGTTCCAAAATTTTTTCAGGGATTCTTCAATTTTAGGTTTGCAGCTATCTTTTGCTATTAAAAAAAATTTTTAAGTTTTAAAATATAAATTAATAGGTCTCTTAAAAATTGCGTTTAAAATTAATTAATTTCAATTTAATTCTTTTAAAACAATACGCTTTCTATTTATGTCCTCACTTAGATACAGTTTCAAATTATTTTTTTATGAAATTGCTGATGATTACAGATTGATATTTTTTTATTTTTATGCACTTATTAAACCCTTTGTGTGTATTAGTGGAAATGTATCTACTACATCAGTAGAAACCACATAACGAGGTCATGAACGCATAAACTAATGACGTTCTTTTTTTCTTTTGTAAGATTTGTTTTTAGCAATAAAACTAATCGAGTTTTCATTGAACTTTTTTTGTGTGACTTTTTACATTAAATTTGAATTACTGTAATTTATTTGAGTGAATCGATTAGAATACGTTTTAATCTTATTTATTCATGCAAGCTTTTAATTTCCTTCTTTTTTAAATTATTACTTACCGGTTTTATAAAAATCTTTACTCGAAATTACACGAAAATACAATTGAAAATAAATGCCTTACAATTTTAAATAAATGTTTAAAAATCTATGCGGTATTTTTCTTAAGTCTAACAAGTGCCCCTAAAATAATTACTTAACTTAAAAATCCAAAACAAAAAAAATTATTTTTGTCAAGTTTTAAAGCTATTCTGCCTTACTGTGCGCTTTAACCACTCTGTATTAGGAAATACAGCGCCGTGGTGCAAATAATATTAGGAAAACTTTTTTACAACTAGGGTAAACTGGGGTAAAGTGAACTGTTTTTGATATTTAAAGGAAATATTTTCAAAATAAAAGCCAAAACATTTTGCAGTTATCAAAATTTATACCATTTAAAGTATTAGGTACAATATAAAACAAAATACTAAGATTAAAAGCTACTTTTACAATATTAAATATATATTCAAAAAAAACATGTCCACTAGTTCACTTTACCCCCACATTGGGGTAAAGTGAACTACTTCATCTTTAACTCTTTTGTGTTTGTTATTTCTAATAAATTAGTTTTTTTATTTTGTATTTTGCCTTGCTGCTTGATCTTTCTTTTAAAGCATTCGTTTTCTTCATCATTTAATCTTTTAAATGCATCTTCTGATGTAAGACACTCACCTCCATAGTGTCTTTTTATTTTTTTTGTAGGTCGTTTGTTGTATGAACGACCATCACCCTTTGTGGCCATTAACTGTTCTTTCACTATTTCTCTAATGATTTTATTTCCAGTAGAACAATCTACATTTGATATTGATAGTTGATTTATTTTTTCATTGTTTAAGTCTTTTCCTACTGATATTATAGTTTTTTGTGAATTGTATTTATTTGTTGATTCAATAGAAAAATTTTCACAAGTATCGTTCTGATCATTGACATTGGTGTCTAAAACGATGTTTTGAGGGACGTTATTATTATAGTTATTTGTTTTCTGAGAAAAAGGGTGTTCATAGATTTCAGAAGGATTTAACTTGTCAGATGCTATAGCAGATGGATCAAAGGGAAAAATTCCAGTTTTGGCAAAGGATTGTACTAAATGAGCTGGCTTAAAGGAGGTATCATAAAGTTTTTTTAATAAAGATGGAAAAACAGATTTCCCAACCACCTTCAGCCTTGACTCGGTATACCAATTGACCAGAATTTCACGCCATACATGTTTAACTTGGCGAAAGACTCCTACATCAAGTGGCTGAAGCAAATGCGAACAGTGTGCTGGCAAACACAAAATAGTTATACGATTTTCAACTGCTTTTTTAACAGTTTCTAAAGAAATATGACTAATGTGACCATCAAAGATAAGCAAAACAGGCTTGGGTGTGTCTTTCAACCATAAAACAAGATGGTTAAAGTATTCAGTGAAAACTTCTGTTTCCATCCAACCGTTTTTTGTCACCCCATATAAGGAACCATTTGGTCCACCAGTCATCCACTCTTTATACAAATTCTTCCCAGCAAATAAAATAAATGGAGGAAAATTTCTTCCTGCAGCTGATATTGTTGCTAGTACAGTAAACTGTTCTTTTCCTGATCCAGGAGCAATAGATACAGGGTTTTTAATACCTCTTTTGCAAATAATTTTTTTATTTATTGGGTTAGTGCAAAACCCACTTTCATCGCAGTTTAGTATTTGGGCAGGTCTATTCATAATGTCACATTTTTCCAATGTTGCTTTAAGTAATAAAAACTAAGCATCAATTACAGTTTTATTACAAGCTAAGGCTCTTGTTAATGTCAAAAGCTCTGGAGTTCTTATAGATATTTCTTTCTGCCAACGATTTAAAAAATTACAAAACCACTGATCACCAGCAACACCATTAACAAATTTTTTCTGAAATCCGTTTAATTCAATATACGTTTGAACAAGTTTCACAAATTGTTTTTTATCTAATCCAAATCCAAAATCAGAAAATGCAGATAAAAGTGAAACAAGATCTTTTTCAGCATCAGCAGATAATCGGTTTGGTCGCCCTTCACCAACTTTTGAGCATTTTATGCCTAGTAGATGTCTTGCAATTGTACTTCTTGGAACACCATATTCTTTTGATGCAGCATACGAAGTCATTTCTTTATTTTTAACTTTCGAAATGGCATTTTGCAACAAATTAGGTGCATATGTTTTTCTTCGAGATTCTTTTTTCTTAATGTAGTTTCTTGGCATTATTTCAATATATTATATTTCTGAAAATAATTTTAAGAATATTTAAAAAAAAAAAAACTTATTTTAAGAGTAAACAATTTAGTTAAGTAATTACAATTTATATATGCAGTTCTACTAAAAATATTTGATGAAAAAACATAAGAAAAAGACTAGTTCACTTTACCCCCAATAGGCAGAAAAATAAGGGGTAAAGTGAACTAAATTGATTTACAAACTAAAAGCTTAGCTTTTTTATATTATGATAAAAACTACAATTTTTTTTTAACAGCATTATATTATCTTTAAAATGTATATAAATTATATAACTGATGTTCGCATTAATAACAACAAATCATGAATTTACTAAAACCCATAGCAAAGTTTGAGATCGTAATTTTAAAACTTCCGCCAAACTCGCTTTTTAAAATGGCTATTACATCAAAACAAAGGCTATATTTTATTAATTTTTTTATTTAAAAAATTTCAAAATGTTGTATTAAGCAAAAATAATGCTAAATTACTTAACAAAAAGTTTTTTAAACATGATAACTTTTTAGTTTAAAAAAATAGTTCACTTTACCCCTAGTTCACTTTACCCCAGTTTACCCTATACTTGAAATGATTAGACACTCATTTTGCAAATTATATATATATATATATATATATATATATATATATATATATATATATATATATATATATATATATATATATGTATATATGTATATATATATGTGTGTGTATGTGTTTGTGTGTGTATATATATGTGGGTGTGTGTGTATATATATTATATATATATATATATATATATATATATATATATATATATATATATATATATATATATATATATATATATATATATATATATATATATATATATATATATATATATATATATATATATATATATATATATATATATATATATATATATATATATATATATATATATATATATATATATATATATATATATATATATATATATATATATATATATATATATATATATATATATATATATATATATATATATATATATATATATATATATATATATATATATATATATATATATATATATATATATATATATATATATATATATATATATATATATATATATATATATATATTTATATATATATATATATATATATATATATAGCGCCGTGGTGCAAATAATATGGGGAAAACTTTTTTACAACTATACTTGAAATGATTAGACACTCATTTTGTTTTTACTTTGTCCAAATGTTTTTACGAAAACAATTTCTTGTTAAAGCTACGAACCAAAAGACTTTTTGACGTAATTTCTCAAATAAAGAAATATTTTTAATAGAAAAAGATTGCAATTACAGCAATAATCAACATTAAAAGGTTACTAGTAAACTTCCGGTTTTTTGAACCTTCGAATAACCGAAATTTCAAATAACCCAAAATCAGCTTTAATGAGAAGTATTTCAGATTAATAATTTCTAATAAATGCTAGTTCAATAAAAAATGTGTGTGTGTGTGTGTGTGTGTGTGTGTGTGTGTGTGTGTGTGTGTGTGTGTGTGTGTGTGTGTGTGTGTGTGCATGTGTGTGTGTGTGTGTGTGTGTGTGTGTGTGTATAAACGTATGTAAATAAATTAATATGCGATGCTCACGAAGAGAGCTTGGATTTTAAAAATATTCGGAATATTTATAAATTTAAGTACGGGATGCTTTTGATTCGACGTCAATAGTCGGATTGATTAATTATAAGAAAAAAAGGAAATGAAGCGATTTAAATAAGATACAATAATTTTATTCCAATAATAAATAGAGATTAATGTTACTTTTTTCTAAGCGTGGAAAATTTAACTAAAGAATATGACTAAGAAATTTGACTAACGAATGCAGTGGATTTGTTTAAGATATCTTTATTAAAAAAGTATTGGTGAAAATTTTTGCAGCTTTATCAAAGAAGATACAGTTATGGGTGAGAGTATATCTGTGAAAAACCTGCTCATTGTAAGAAATATTTTTTTTATGTATTTATATGTATATAAGTATATATATATATATATATATATATATATATATATATATATATTATATATATATATATATATATATATATATATATATATATATATATATATATATATATATATTCAATATTCCATTTGCTTGTAATAGATTTATGATCAAATTTTACCAAAAAATGTTTTAGAGTAAATAATATAAGTTTACTAAAAAATTGAAGATAATAACTTTTTTTCAGTGGTAATTCTTAAAGGATCATTTAGCCTTGTGATCTGTAATTGGTATTGTTAGGTTGCCGGAAATTAGATTAGGAATTTAAAAATTTGAAAAGTTGTTATCACTAGTTATTTAGATTTACAAGTTATACATGTTGGTTGAATAACCATTATGTATAACTGGTACTTTTTCAGAATACCCTGTTAATTATCAGAATTAAGTTTTTCAAGTAAAGAATTAAAACAATCAGAAAAATATTACTTAGGATTCATGGAAAAGTGTTGGTATATACAGCCAATAATGATATTTTTCTTAAATAGATTGATGATTTTAATAAAGGTAGATTTTCCAATTCCACAATCCCTTGATAAAATTTGCCAAGTTGTTATGACTTGACAGTGATTGCTCCTGCATCACTGCAGCTAACTATTTTATTTTTTGACTTCTAAATACCTGATTTTATTCATATTTCATTCAATGTACAAATGCACACACAACAAGCTTGAAAATCCTTTTTTGTGACATTCCATTTATGTAATCGCCAATAATTTTCTTTCTTAGTTCTAATTAAAGACTGTCGGGAGCCATTTTTGCACTTGAAGTCATAAAAATAATAAAAATAAATAATCACGCTTCTCAAGGCTTACCGTGTTACATTTACCTTGTGATTTTACAATAATGCTCTGTGGAACACAATGTCTTGGTTGGATGCGGACTGTATTGATGTAATGAAACACTTGTTGTATTTCACTTCTTGTATTGATGTTTTTCGATAAAACACTTTGATAAACTGTCTTGATAATACTGACTGATTGACTTCCATATACTGACTGAATTACATGTCGGTTTACATGTCTCTTATATAGTAAAATGAAGATGTGTGAACCTGTTCTGGAAAATTCTAGATGCTTCTGGAAGTTTCTGGATGCGTCTGGATGCTTCTGGAAGCTTCTGTATACTTCTGGAAGCTTCTGCATACTTCTGGAAACTTTTGGAAACTTCTGGATACTTGCTTTAATTATTAAAAAACTTCTGTGGCGTTGACACGGACCAGAAAATGAAACAAACCAAAAAAGTTGCACTTTTTTTGTCCGCTGCAAAATGGCACTTGTCAATGAAATTCTTCCTGTGTGCTGTCACCTGTAAGCTGACTGCTCATTCCCATGGCATGCTATGACTCCAGACTCCTGAACTGTTTGCTGTGGTAGTATAGTTCATTTCGTTTTTAAGACATGTAAAATTAGGAACACTTTTTAGCATTGTTCGATGTTGGTTGCAAATGTTTTGTCCAATACTGTATATATATTTACAGCGCACAGTGGGCCAGAATTCACTTTTAATGGACAAAATTAATAACTAATTAAATATTAGGTCTTTATTTGCTAAATTTGGCATGAGTACTAATATAAGGTCTTCTCTTTTTATGAAAGTAATATTTTTACATTTTGTTGCTATGTATACTTATTTTTGCTTAGCAACAACCTCTTTTTGGTAGTTGTAGATGTTTTATGTGCGTTATTTTTATTAAAATTAGTTTGTGCATTAATATAAGGTTTGCTCTTCTTATAAGGAGGATATTTATCATTTGGTTACTATGGTTAGCTAGTTTTATGGATATCTAATTTATATAGCAACAACCTATTTTGATAATTGCTATATTAACTAAATTTGACACGAGTACTATTACAAGGTAAAACTTTATATAGAAGTCATAACTTTTTTTAGTTCAGTTGCTATGGATACCTATATTGCTTAACAACCAGATATTTTTCTTAGTTACATATATACAAAGATAAATCAATTTTTGAACAAATTTTGATTGGAATTTCAACCATCCTATTTTAAATAACTATAAAACATTAAACATTTAGGTAATTAGTTTTAGGTAAAGATTTAGGTTAATGTTAATAAAAACAAAAAATATTGCAAAAAGCATTGACAATTTAAAACACATTAATTTATAAAACTTACATACATGCATAAAATAAGAAATCATATTATGGATAAGTCAACATTAGGAGCCTGAAGCACTAACTCCTTCTGTGAGTTGAGATTTTGAATTTTGAGAATTTGACCTTCTCATGCTGCTCATTATTGGGTCTGATGAGCACGAAGGTTGGCATAATACATCATAGTTAATTTACTGCATTTGCATGTGTAGTTTTCTTGGAAACGTTTGAAATTCTTATTTCGTGCTTCCTGTACCTTTTCAGAGAGCATTCCAATAGGCAAGACAATTTTCTTACAACCTAATATCCGTGTAATAATATCTTGTGCAAACTTTGTGTCATGTAATACCATGGGTAGCTCTGTACAAACAAATAAGCTACCTAAAAGAGACAATCAATTATGTAATTACAAAAGCTAAGTTAGCCACAGCTCCATATAGAAGTAATATTAAAAATAAACTTACCTCAAGGCAGTAGTTTTGAAATGCATTCAAAAATGTGGTCAAAATGACATGCAACTTTCTCAGCAGTAGTAAATCCAGCTTTAAAATTTCAGCCACAATACTTTCAGATTGGAAAAAATGACGAGCTGTATTTCCATCATTGGATGTCCCAGAACCACCAGATCTGGGCAACAGTTGTATAATAATATAAATAATAGTTGTACAATAATATAAATCCAAGACGATTTTTAAAGTCATCTTGGATTCTTTATTTTCAATTTTTGCTACCATTTTTTCAATATTGCTCATCTCTTTTGGTGTGCTGCTACATTCTGAGCAGGATTGTGATGTATTGGTCTTGACTGGTAAAGCTTATGCCACTTTACCATCTACCATGGTTATTTCAATGATATTTGGCACATTTAAATAATAAATTAAAACTTTTATATTATGTCAATTCTATTATTCATTTATTTTAGCTTGATATTAGCATCCATAACTGTAGTTAAGTATTACCTTTTAAATGTTAAAATGTAATGAAATAGCTATCAATACTGTTGTTTTGCAAAAATAAATAAAAAATTAGGTACCCATAGCAACCAATTAAAATTATAACTTCCATAAGAAGTGGAAATCTCATTTTAGTATAAGTATTTAATATAGTGTACATGCATGAATAAAAAACTATTAAAACACTGTTAATGTAAAAATAAATTATTGGTATGTAAAATTTGGTACCATAGCAACCAAATTGTACTCAATGAGTAGCTTGAATACGTCTGTCTACATCCATAAAACCAAGTATTTTGGCTTCCTTACATGTTAAAGAACAGTTTATGACAATTAACCGCCCCAAAAAAAATGCATTTAATTTGGCACATTTAAGTAATAAAATTAAACTTTTGTGTTATACCTATTCTAATATTAATTTATTAAACCTTAAATTGACATTCACATCCATAACTCTGGCTAAGTATTACCTTTTAAATGTTAAATTGTAATAAAACAGGAATCAATACTGTTGTAATGCAAAAATAATTAAATAAACTGTGTAACAATGTAAACAAAATTATAAAAAAAAATTATTAATGTTTAAAATAGTTTTATTGTTTATGATATGCTATTTATATAGGCTGGCAGTTTTGCTGGTTTATCAGGAGATATCATTATGTTTCCATTGGATACAATCAAAACAAGGTTACAATCAAGTGCAGGATTTTGGAAAACTGGAGGGTTTTTTGGTATATACAGAGGCTTGGGTTCTACAGTTTTGGGTTCTGCACCTTCAAGTGTGTTTTTTTAAAATGGTATTTTTAAATCATAGTTTTCTACAAAACCTTTTAAATTTTAAATATATGAGTTATAAGTTGACTTCAAATATCAGTTATAAGTTTACAATTAAACAAGTTTCATTACTTTCAATTTATCATCAGTTCAATAATGGTAAATACACAATTAAAAATCTATGTGTATATATATATATATATATATATATATATATATATATATATATATATATATATATATATATATATGTATATATATATAGTCTTACATGGTTGTCAAAAAGTTTTTCCCATAAACCAGGCTTGGACAGGAATGGCGTGCGATCGCACTCTGTTACTGACCACGCTAATATTTTTATTTCTTTACAACTTGACCACGGCCATTTTGATGTTTTAACAATTTGAATGCAATAAAAAAAGTGTTACGCTATAAATACTTTTAATCGTTGATCTTTTCTAAAGTTTTTTATTTTACGCAAAGGCTTTAAATAAAACCATAAAATTAGTTATAGTTATAGTTTACATAAACGCTTGTGTTAATTAATAAAAAATGTTATAAATAAGTTTTTTTATGTAGGCATTTATTTTTTTTGATAAATGTAAACGTTTGAAACTATTTTCTTATGTCTTCCTTAATATTTTAAAACCATTATTTTTAGAAAGAATTTTTTTAAGTTACTTTAATTTGTGAATAAGTTCAAAAGCTTTTGTGACTACTAACTTTTACACATTTTATGTGAATTACACAAGAATATAAAATAACTTTATTTACTTATATAAGCATGTATTTTGTTGATTTAATGAAAAAGTTTTAAAGCATTTTGTATTGTTCATACGAATAATTTTTATGACTAAACTTAGGATTTTTTAAAATGTTTTAAATAAACATTTTATTTTTTTTAAACAATTTTTTTTTATTTTTTTTTATTTTGTTAGAAATGAATGAGATTAAATCTTTTATAATAATTTTTAAATTCGTTACGCGAAGCCCTCATTAAGTTGTAATGCTCAAATTAAAATTAAAAAGCTTTTAGGCAGTTTATTTTATTTAAATCGCAGGCGCATTTTATTATTATTTTTTTTCTATTTTTACGAATAAAAAAGTTCAAAACCTTTTTTTAATTAGACTCACTAATTAGAGCATGAAATTAGTAAAAATTACTATTTTAAAAAGATTATGTTATTTTTTTAAACAATTTTTTTTTGCAACTTTTTTGACAAAATTAATGTTTATACAATTTAAAAGTATTATATAAAACACTTTTTAATAAATTTAATAAAATTTGTTCTTTTATTAAACCAATCATTAGTAGTAATTTGTTACTTAATTTAAAAACGTTTTGCTTAACTTTAATTACACTTAAAAAGATAAGCTTTAATAACGTTTATCTCGTACATAATTAAAAACGTAACAAAAAGTTTTGCTTCGAGTTTAAGTTTTTATTTTCATTTCAGTGCTTATATAATTTCTTTTTCGTTATGTTTTTGTTTTTCATTTCTTTTTTCGTTAGGAATTTTTTTTTTCGTTAGTTTTTTTTTAATTTTTTCCTAATTTTAGTTTAGCTTAGCGTTTCTACATTCAGAACATTTCTGAAATTTTTAACTCATCAAAACATATAAACATTGTTTATTAAACAATCGTGGTCAAGTTGTCAAAAAATAATGCTTGATTTAAAAGGGATTTTAAAATCATTTGCGTGGTCAGCAATAGCACTCGATCGCATGACATTCCTGTCCAAGCCTGATAAACTGTAGTTTTGAAGGGAGCTCTAATAAAACAGACACGAAAAAGTTTTTAAAATGTATTATAATGAAACAAAAATACTAGAAAAAACTTTCTAATCATTATTATTGCGGTTTTTTTAAAAATGATAAAATTTAATGTACTTCCGCATTAATTTAATTGCTTTGACATTTCAACGACAATAAAATGTAGCTTAATTGTCGAGGTAGCAAAATTGTAGTCGAAAGAGACTTTTTTTTACATTAAAAGGCACTTTTAACTATGAGATAAAGATATATATATATATATATATATATATATATATATATATATATATATATATATATATACAGGCCTTGTAATAAAACGTTGAGCGATGTGAATTTTACGTCGTCCAAGAGCGATTTTGCGTGTAGCTAGGGTTATTTGCGTTGAGCAAAAAATTTTTTGTTTGAGTATATTTAAAGATATTTTTGATCGGAATTTTAATGAAGTAATTTACGATTATTTTAACATTTAATAAAGTATTTTAAAAACCGCACACAGTTGATACAAAAGTTTGATTTACAAAAAAATTAAATATGCTCATTATTTACAAGTAGAAAAAATTCAGATAAAAAAAAAAGTTTAAATCTTTTTAAGGTAACATTTTAATAAAATTATTCAGCAATAGCAAAGTTGTCGATAAAATTGAACAAAAATACTTTCTTTTAGTTTTAGATATTTAACATAAATAATTATTTTACGGAGGTTTGTTAGGTTTTAAATTATTCCATAGATTTAAAAATATTTATTAACTGTTAGAGGTATTTAAAGTATTTAAGAGTAATTTTGAGGAAACATTTTTAAAATTGGTAAGCGCAAATAAAAAAAAATAAAAGGAATAATATTAAAACGTATTCTACTTGATTCAAAAAAAAAAGTACAGCTATTAAAATTAAAAAGTAACTCGAAAATAATTACATAAATAATAACAATCGCTTTTTTGTTAAAAGTTACAGAAACTCAACGAAGCGTGCTCAAGATCAGTTGCTGAAAAATAGAATGTCAATAGTTTTTCCAATAATTTTTAAGAATAATTTTTTCGCTGAAATATGTCTTTTATACCTATAAGGTTTTTATTCTAACTTTTTATTTTATTTTATTTTACCAAAAATAAAATTCCTTGTAAACATTAAAAATCTATTCAAAACGTTTGTTAAAGTTTTTTAGTAATACGAGTGATTGTGCTTATCAACCGCTTTATGAAAATAAATAAAAATAAAAAAATATTATATAAAATCGCTAGTAAAAATATTAGCTATTGCACAGTTTTTAATCGTACAATATTAAAATTTCCAGTTTATTACTTGCTGACTTTTTAAAAAGAAAAAATAATTATTTGAAAAACTTTAAATTATATATTTGAGAAAAAAAAAAGAAAAATCAAATATTAGCATATTTTATAATCTTTTGTAAATGTTTAGTTATAATGTTTTTTATTCGTTTAGTATAGACAAAACGTGTCAAACGTCGAGAAAATAAACAAATGTTTTTACATTTTAAAAAATGAAACATTCCAAAACATTTTTAAATAATAACATTTCTACATTAATTTTTAAGTATTTTAAGTAGATTTAAAGTAGTTTTGCGGTAATTAAGTAAATTGGTGCAGTTAATGTCGATAAATATGAAAAGCAAATAAAAAGAATTTAATTACGTCAAAAATCACGTCGTGCTTATGCGTTGCGCAGTTTTTATTCATCACAAGGTCAGCAAAAAATATTTGATACAAAGGTCTTACCATGTGATAAGGTTCCTCTAAGAAACTGTCTTTGGCGCCTAACTTGCAACGGTCTATGATAGCTTCTCTGTCATTTTTCTTTATAATTCCACAATCTGAAAGTGCAACAGTAACAATAGCTGCTCCAGCAGTATCAGATACACCACATTTTCTGTCACATTCTCTGGGTACTGTTGGAAAATTAATCATATTTCTACCAGATTCACTAGCTGTTTCACTAAGTTCTGATAACTTATCCTCATCATCATTGCTCTGTGTGTCATTTATAACCTCCTTATACAATATCGGCATCTATATTCGAACTGATACAAACTGATGCTTTCATAGTGCTTTTGCTATACAAAAAAAAAAAAATTTCTTTTTATGGTTCTCTCAAATGCTTTATTTAATTTAAACATAGTTTCCTTATCTTAAGAACCAATAACCATATTTCTTTGATTTCTTTGATCCCCTAAAAATTCATGCTCAAGTATTGGCACCTTTGATTTTCTCAAGCATGTGCAGTTTTTTAGATTAAGACAGTAACATACTGCAATGTCAAACAAGACTAAACTTTCCTGCTTAGCAATTGATACTGCTGAAGTTTTTAGCTCACATTTTGGTTTAAGAATCTTTTTCAAAATGTCGCGCTAAGATTCTACTTTTTACTGCACTTGTCTTATTGTTACAGTAGGAATACCAGATATCAACCAAATGTCTGTAATGTTTGCAGAAACTTGAGAAACTATTATGCTCGACTTTGTAGTTCTAGGAAGTTTAAATTGAAGAAAAGAATAGTACTGCATAACATCCTTAACAACTTCTTTAAGTTAGCGATAAGTTAGTTCACATTCTAGGCCATAAACGGGACAAGTGTGCTGCGCTCTAGTAGTAGCCGTATTTTGCAGTAGTGATTGTAATATTATTTATTTTCTAAATGTAAATTAATTTAAATAAACACAATTTTGAAACAGAATTCTAGAAATAGATTTAAATTTAATAAACTATATATATATAAGTTGTTTTGAAAATTTTGTTTATTTTATACTAATAATATACTAAGCTTCCTAAGTTTTCTTTTGAAACAAACAATTAAAATAATTTAAAAACAACGCTGGTTATAACCATTATTTGCATTATATTTGCATCTTTTCTTTGTTACATACATGATGGTTTGAAACCACTTTATAATTTTTAAGTAGTTATAAATTGTTTTCTAACTATTTTTTAACTATATGTTTTTACATTCAGTAAGCTATTCTTTACAGAATGAAAAATTATTTTTAATAGAAAAAACAATTTTTTTCTATTCAAAATAATTTTTTTTTTAAATTAGTAAGTAATTTAATTGCATTAAAAAAAGCCCTAAAATGCTAAAATATAAAATCTTCTAGTGGCAAATTAATAGAAAAAACTTATTTTTTTCCATCTAGTTTATATTGTCCATAAGCAAAAACTTATCAATATTAAATTTTATAATCAAAGTATTTATTAATTAATTAAAAACTGATGAAAATCATAAAATGCCAAAAATATGGTTATTTCAAACCCCCTGGAGGCAAAGGTAGTCATTAAAAAAATTACTGGTTTCTATAAGCATTAAAATAGCTACTACGTTGAAATTTTTATAAAAAAAATTTAAAAAGGATTTTAAAAGCTAAAATATTTGTTTAAAATTTATAAAACAAAAAATAAAATAAATACTAAACTATAAATTTAAATTAATAACTAATTGCAACGTTTTAATATAAATGATAAAAACCGTGCTACTTAATTCAAAAAAAATGCTTTGGTGTCTTTTAAAAAAGGAATTAACTCAAAAAAATGACGTATTTTATTAACATAACAGTGTGTTTAACTTCAATTTTTGTTTTGTATAAAAAATAGTTCAAACATAAAGTTTATATACAATACTGAGTTTATAAATAATTTTGGAACCACTAAAATAATTAAAAATAGATGCACATAAAGTATGGATCGGACAAAATGACAGATAGATATCGTTTTTCACTGGACAATGTTTGATGTTCAGCGCTTATTTTCATTTCCTGTAAATTTTCCTTTTTTGAAAAAATTATTACTTAAATTTTTAATGGTACGCTAGATCAAGAAACAATAAATTATAAAAAATGTGGTTTCTAATATTTTTTTGCTTTGATCCTACTTCTTTAGTCTATAGATTATAGACTTGTTTGGTCTATAGGCATGTTTTTGCGCAAATATGAAATTTAAAGTTTTATGGCAATCTTTTAATTTACTTCCTTTTATTTTAAACACGTTTTATGTTATTAATGTTATAAACTGCATAAAACAGCAATGAAACAGCGTCACAAAGTTGTTTTTTACCAACACAAGCCTTTTACATTGTCAAAACAACTTTGCAGTTTGTTTTATTGTTGTTTTATAGCTTTTTACAATAACACTAAAATACTCTTTAAACACACAATTTATCGTCAGCATGAACGTATTAAATAATTTTCTATAACTAATTAAAGTGGTTTAAAATGTTATAATATTTGCGTTTTTACTTTTACTTTTTCATTTTAACTTTTTTGAGTATCTATTTTTTATTTTTACTATATTAAGTATCTTTTTAAGTACTATTTTAAGTATGTTAAGTAAAAACAGCTACTAAAATTAACATTGTAATAATATTAAATACATTTCTTGCTCATTACAATATAACTGCAACTTAAACTTTAAATTATAACTTAAGCTGTAAATTATAACAGTAGCTTATGCTATTTTAAATTCCGCCAGTAACTTACACTATTTCAAATTCCGCCAAACAAGAAAATTATAAGATAATATTCAACTTTTTTTCACCTTGTCTAAAAGTGAAAAGGCGTCATTGAAAAATCCGCCCATGACAAGCACCATAAAGAGATGCAACCTTAGCAGAGGCTAATTTTGCAATCAATTTGATTTATGGTTTCCAAGAAAGATCAGAAGTAAGAGTTATCCTAAAAGACAAAGGGTAGATGACTCATTGAGTACAATTACCATTCATAAATAAAGGAAGATCTAGATTGTTGCGATAACGATTAGTCGAAAAAAGAGTTTTATCTGAGTTGAAGTTCATCAGCCACTGAGAACCTCATACTGCAGCAGAAGTGAGATTATTTTCAAGTTCAAATGCTCCCTCCAAGCAATCAGAGAGCATTGGCTTTTTATCAAGACAAGAATAAATGGTAGTATCATCAGCAAACAATGCCACCTTAGATGTGAGAATTTCTGAGAGATTGTTAATGTAAATTAAAAAGAATATAGGGCCAAGGATAAAACCTTGAGGGACCCCTGAAGTTACAGGATGTGAAGAAGAGTGCTGTCCATCGAGGACAACCTTTATACTACAATTGGTAAGAAAGGATTCAATAATCCTGATAAACTGTAAGAAAAGAGCTTTTGAAGAAGACCAGCATGCCAAACTTTATCAAAATCTTTAGAAATGTTGAGAGCGATAGTCTAAGCTCTCCACATCATTGAATGCGCAATAAAACTTTTCGGTTATTACTGTGAACAAATCAGCAGTGGAACAAGAAGACCAAAATCCATATTGATGATCAGAAAGTTTATTAGATTCAATATAAGAGATTAAGTGTTTGTTAATTAAAGACTCAAAAACCTTGCTTATGATAGTAAGTAGACTAACAGGGCAGTAGTTAGACAAATCAGATTGCTCTCCAGAATTTTTAAAAATAGGGATAACAGATGCTGCTCACTTCTGCAAAACTATAACAGCTATGTTGTCCAGACCACAAGCTGTAGAAGAGTCTAAACAGAAAATCACTTTAGATACAGAGACTGGAGTGATATGAATGTCAAGCTATGGATCAACCTCTTTGTCAGTTTAGGTAGAATGCAACTAGTGAAATCTAGAGATAATATTGATGAAAAATTCTTAGCAAACAATTCAACTTTGTCTTTAGGCAACCATTGGAGTTAGGGTTGGCATTCAGCAATGCTGACCTAATTGCTGACCTAAAAATGTTCGAGGTCAGCAAAAAATTGCCAACCTTGTTTCTATATTTTATTATAACCCCTTTGTGTAAAATTTTTTTGTCAACCTGATACCAGCCTCTAACAGTTTAAGGATGGTAGTTTATTGCTGATTTTTTCTAATTCCAAGCGTTGCTTTAGGTGAGGTGACAAAATCTGAACCATACATAAGAGATTTGCCCTTATTATAGATACTGTTAAAGGTTCTCTAAAAAGTCATGAGAGCCTATTTTTTTAGATGAAATACGAGATTTCATGACCTGAGAATAGTAGGCTTTGGCATTAGACAAAATCTTTTTACAATGGTTTCTAGCAGTAGTAAACAGGCGTCTGTTTTGCTGATAGATATGAAAGTAATGGTTATGATTGGAAGTTGCAGCAGTACAATAAGTGGAAAACCATGGAGAAAAGTGAGGCTTGAGTTGAAATTGTCTAGGCTTTTTGAATTTTATAGTTTTTGGTACTTTAGTCATTTTAAATTTGTTAAAGAGCTTGACTTGAAGCACAGATAGTACTCTGTACACTGTTTAATAGTCTAAGCAATTGCCTCATTACTATTAATTTTAAGTATCATGTTAAGTAAAAATAGCTACTAAAAGTAATATTGTAATAGTATTAAATACATTACTTGCTCATTACAATGGAAGCAAGATTGAAGCTGTGATCGATGCTAATGGTTGTTATTTTGAGTGAAAGTTGTTTATAGTATTATAGTTTCTGTGCCTGTAATTTTTTTTTCAACTCATTAAATTTAGTAGTTACAAAAAATATTTTCCTTACAAAACTGTCAAGTTTATTCAAAACACCCTGTATATTTAATATTGTTAACAAATGGTATATGATGTCAATCTTGTTATTCAGGAAATCAATTCCTGTATTTTTTTTTGGAATGCATCAAGATTATTTATGAAAATATGACAGGGGGAACAGGGTCTTAAGGTGATTTTCCATTTATCCGTGTTTCAATCGGAACGAGATAGGAAAGAAAAAAATACTCACATGAGCATGCATAGTTTTATTTTGGACAAATTAAAATGTATAATATGTATGCCCATGTGATTATTTTTCCCTTCCCCTTTCCCATGAAAAAACAGATGAGTGGAAACTCGCCTTTAATAAACTCAGGGTTGGTGGAAAAATTTTCCAAAAATTAATAAACATCAACTTCTGTGTATTAGGCACTTTTTTTTTCCTTTTTGATTTTACATAATTCCTGTTTTATAAGTAACAAATTTAAGTAAATTTGACTGTTTTTTTTTTCATTTTAAGAAAAGATTACTCTCTAATTCTTTGTAACAACTCTAAACTATTCTTTGTAACAACTCTAAACTATTCTTTGTAACAACTCTAAACTATTCTTTGTAACAACTCTAAACTATTCTTTGTAACAACTCTAAACTATTCTTTGTAACAACTCTAAACTATTCTTTGTAACAACTCTAAACTATTCTTTGTAACAACTCTAAACTATTCTTTGTAACAACTCTAAACTATTCTTTGTAACAACTCTAAACTATTCTGGACAACATCTGAAAAAAAAAAGTTTATCTACATTGGTATTTTTGTAATTAATCTTGCCTAAATATAAATGATGTTAAAAATAGATTTATATGCTTAAATAATATTGCTAATGATAACATTTATATAATAGATTTAAGTATATTATATATTAAGTATATCGAATCAATATGAAAATATATAATGTACATAAATATACAATGTAAAAAGAAAATAATATGTGATTAAGTTATGTTTGAAAATATAGTTTTATTTAGGTGCAACATTTTTTTTGGCATATGAGTTGTCTAAAAAACACATTCCACTATCATCTGATTTATCAAAGCACATGTTTGCTGCCTGTTTAGGAGAAACTGTAAGTTTTTTATAAAATTTTGTTCAGTTTATTCTGCTTCCTTTAATTAACTTAACTTATTTATTTGCATATTTTTTTTGTTAAGATAACAGAATAAGTATTACACACAGGTCTTGTTCTCTCCGAAACATCATAGGTGATCGCAGTGTATTCCTGAGGAGGGGGATCACCATTTATCACTACTTAATTCTAATTGGTTATTATGGCACCAACATTTTTTTTACCTCTTACACCCATGAATTGTGAGCTTTGTGTACTTTTTATTATGAATTTGTTGCAATTACAACATTTATATATTTTTATGTTACACTGGTGATTATTAGTTCTCAATTTATTATCTAGAGTTTAGACCATATATAGTACCACATTTATTAGACATTTGTATGGTACAATTATTTTAGTTATGGATACCATTAATAAACCAGCGGATTTTTATTGACTTGTTTACTGATAGATCATTGTTTTATCATTTGCTAAAGATGACTAGAGTGTAATTTATGGTTCCCCCCTCCTGAGTTGCTAACTTTTACTCCTCCTACTAAATAGTCTTTACATTAATTTATGTTTTTTTACCTAAATGACATCATCTTCAATTTGTTTTTATTATCTCCCAGGTCTACAAAACTGGACAGCTCCGTTGGTCAAATAAACAAAAAATTTTATTCTGTTTATTCCGCTTCTTTTAATTACTTTATTAACTTATTTATTTGCATATTTATTTTGTTAAGATAAAAATTTTGCAGTTATAAGGTTGAAAGACATATAAGTTTTAATTAAAAAAAGTTATAACTTAATTGGACAACGTATATTAAGTAAATAAAAAAATATATATATATATATATATTTATATATATATATATATATATATATATATATATATATATATATATATATATATATATATATATATATATATATATATATATATATATATATATATATATATATATATATATATATATATATATATATATATATATATATATATATATATATATATATATATATATATATATATATATATATATATATATATATATATATATATATATATATATATATATTAGGGTTTCCCAACCGCTCCCTATATCCTAAAAAATATTTTTTCATATTCATAAAACTTTCAATTGGTTCTCACAAGCAACTTGGTTAAATTTTTTTAAAATTTTATTGAATTTAGGGGGAGCACAAGATTCTTGAACATTTACCAGGTCCCTAATATAAAAAAAAGTTTTTCAAAAGTATGTCAAGTTGGGTCTCAAAAGAAGCAAAGTTATATAAAAATTACAAAAATAACATTAAAAGTTACAAAAATAACATTTTTTTAAAAAAATATAAGATATAATTAGGATTTTTTTTTGGAATTATTTAAAAAAAACAACACATTTTTCATTTTTAGTTAAAAATTGTAAACAGTGTTATCCTTAATTTTAATTTGAAGTAGTTAATAAATGGTATAGAGATCTTGAGATGACAAACAAACAAAAACATTATTTATATGTCTTTATGTCATTAGTAAGACATCTACTTATTTTGCAAACCCCCTCGTTCCATTCTATTTTGTTTGCAAACATTATATGATGAACTTTTGTAACTGCTGTTTGTGATATTGTTATTTTTTAGTTACTAAAGTTTAAAATGTTTGTTAAGGTTTTGTTAACTGAATGTATGGAAATTAGATTTTTTGTTAAAAAAGGATCTCTGATGTGATGCTCAGATATGTTTGTTAGGTTCAGGGTGTAGTTTGAATAACTTATCATTTACAATAAGGTGGAGCTATTGCAGCATTTTTTTATATGGTCTTTGTTGTTTTAATGTCTTTCACAAGATATGGACACCATACTAAAAAAATGTATTTAAGTAGTTTTATAAAATTTGATATCTGATGCTAAACTTCATTATTTCTAGTTTAATATATTTTGTATCTTATCTTAGAAGTTAGACTCTAGAAACTTGTGGAAAATCTTCAACAGCATTATTAACAAAGGTAAGTCTAACATTCCATCTCTCATTCATTGGAATGATGAATGAATGAATGGTTACCTCTCTCAGGGTTAAGACAACTATTTGCAAAAAATTTTTCTTCTAATTTGACTCTTAAATCTTATATGCATGCCTTCCTGCAATTCCGGTTAAACAGGTTAACCCATTGTTAGACATTCAATTCACTCCAGTTTCCATTGCTAAATATCTTAATTAAATTTTTCTTTAAACATATCTGCATATCTTAATTAAATTTTTCTATGGCTTGATCGAGGCAACATTCCTTTCATAGTCTTGCAAAAGTGTTCTCCAGAACTCTCTTCAATACTCTCTAAACTATTTAATTAGTGGTTGACTGTATCTTGTTTTCCTGCCTGCTGGAAAATGCATCTGTCCAATCATAATGGAAGATGCATCTGTCCAATCATAATGGAAAATGCATCTGTCCAATCATAATGGAAAATGCATCTGTCCAATCATAATGGAAAATGCATCTGTCCAATCATAATGGAAAATTGTTGTTCCAATTTTTAAAAACTCATGAACATTATTTTTATTATTTTCAAACTATCAAAATACTTGATTATGTATCTGACACTTGATATGTATATGACACAGTGGTCTGAACTATTACCCCACTAATATTTTGAGTGGCTTCTAGAGGAATGATCCATTTGTTGTTTATATTATCTGACAATGGCATATATGCTTTTATGATTTCTGTATTTGTTTTTAATAATTAAAAGTGTAATTAATAAATTTGAAATTAAACTTGAAACTTCTAATCAAAAAATTGAAGAATTTAAACAATACAAAATTATTCTAGCCAATAATTATTTTATTATAATTACAATTGACATTACAAGTTACATTTGTATAAACAAAATCTTGTATAATTAACAAGTTCATTGAAATTTTATTTATTGTATAATAATTTTTGTATTTTCATGCCTTGTCTTAATTTGAGCAAATATAAATAAGCAGATTTCATAAAAAGCAGATATCAAAATCTCATAACAGTAATTTTTTGGAGATTTTGTTATCCAGAATTTTCAACTAAATTTGTTAACAGAGGTGACCTCACACACTTGGTGACCTTTGCCTCTATTATTAGCAAGTTCTTTGAGTTTTTAATCAACAAATTTCTAAAATCCTATCTTGTGCCAAATAACTTCCTGTCTGACAATTAATATGGTTTTTGATCTTCTCGTTCTATGGCTGACTTGCTAACTGCTGCAATTAAAAGATTCTATTATGCATTAGGAGGAGGAGAGGCAAGGGCTATTGCTCTTTACATATCTAAAGCTTTTGATAACTTTTGGCATGTTGATTTTTTCCATAAGCTTGCTTCATCTTGGAAAGATGATATAATTAAAAAAACATACCAAAATTACCCCTAAAAATCCACTAGGTCAGGTTTTTTTAAAAAAAGAAAACGTTTTTTTGCTAACCCTTATTGGTTTTTTGCATTATGTCTTTGTTTTTACTTTAAGAATATTTTAAAGTTATTATGTTAATCTTTATCTGAAATTTAATATATTCTTTTAAAATTATTTTATTTATTTGGTTTTTGAAAATAACTTTAAGGCATCTTGTTTTGTACGGATTCCATTTGAAGTTGTTAAACAACATGCTCAAGTACATCATTCGAAAATCAGTAGCGTTGGAGCTTTTAAAATTATTTTACAAACCTATGTAAGTATAAATTTTTAATTTTTGATCTTTTTTTTTTAATGTTCTTTACCTCCCCAAGGTGAGTAACATAAGAATAAAATGCCTTTTTTAAGAAGATTTTTCAAATAATTTTTTTTTTTAATTTTATAAAAAGAATTAAAAAAAAAATTATTGACAACTGAGACAAGTTATGTTTATAGTTTTTGATAGTAAGCAACCGGAGTTGAAATATGACCGGGATAAAATATAGCTGGGGCCGGGTTTGTTAATGACGTTGCATAAACATTTATACATCCTAAAGTTTTTTTTTAATTTAAAGTTTAATGCTATATTTTGTATAAATATGCATGTATAAAACAAATATGCATGTATAAACATCATTATGATCAACATGTTCATCATAGTCATCATCATCATCATCATCATCATCATCATCATCATCATCATCATCATCATCATCATCATCATCAGGCTTGGGCCTTCCTCTTTTAAGCTGTTTCTCTATTATAAACAATCAAGAGCATTTTTTTTTCCTTAACTAAAGCTCACTCATACAATATGTAAGGCATTCTCTTTAACTTTACTTATTTCTACCACTACCATTTTCTACTGAAGTTGCTACCTCTCTTTGTGCTGATACCTAACCTAATCAATAACCTAAATCAAATTTAATCTTTTCTAACAACTCTTTTTTTTAACCTGTCTAAGATTATGCCTCCTTTTCTTGTCTTGTTAGAGTCACAACACACATGCATCATCTTCTCATCATCATCTGATCATCTTCTCCTTTTACAAATACTACATCATATAAATACTAAAGTTTTTATATATATAAAAAAATATTGTACGCCAGCATCTAAATAAATAGCAAACATATATGTTTATATCCATATTATGTATGCATAAATGCATACATAATATGGATATAAACATATATGTTTGTTATTGGAAGCTTTTATTTCTTTTGGAATAAAAGCTTAAAAGCTTTTATTCCGTTTCTACAATTTTAAGTCAAGCCTCATTCTACTCCACCTTTTTCATCATCTTGAGCAGTTGCTTTATTGAATCGTTATCATTTTTTTCATCTTTTTAACGAGAACATCTCTCTTAAAAATTTGCAAGAAGTCAATGTAAAAAGGTTGTTAAACTCTATTAATTTCAGTTTACTAAATCTTGTATCTTATTTCAGATGTTAGGTTCTAGAGACTTTTAGAAAGTCTTCAACAGTGTCATTAACTAAAGTCTAACTATTAGTCTCTTATTCATGTCTGATTTTTTTACTTTTTCCTAGATTAGGGTAGAGTTATTTGGAAAGAACTTTTTCTTTAATTTGACTATTGAATTTAAAGGCCATTCTTCCTGTCATACCAGTTTAACAGGTTAACCCATAGTTAAACATCTAAATCACTCTGGCTTCCAATGTTAAAGTTAATTTTCAATTAAACTTCTACAGTTTTTCTTCAAACTAGATTTCCATCATAGTCTTAAAGAAGTATTCTCCAGAACTCTCTTCAATTTTTGCTAAACTATTAAAATGTGCTAAATAAGTGGTTCCAATTTTTAAAAACTCTAGAAAACAATTTGACCTTTTCAGGTATCCCATGATTAGTCTTCACTCTGTAATTAATTTCTTTATATAAAGTTTTAGAGATTATTAAGTCATTTCTTTCTAACTATTGTTAAAGTATTTAAGTTATTTTTGAAGTCCTATACTCTTCTTCATTTCAAATAACTTCAGGTACCACAGGGTTTTATCTTTGCTTCTGTATTGTTTCTTATTTACTATAACAATCTTTATAAAAATTTTACATCTAAAGTGGCTCTATTTGCTGCCGACTCAACTTTATACTCTTGTCTTGACAAAAAATCTTCACTTTTTGGTTTTTTTATTATTTTTTTTTATGTTTATTCACCTATCCAAGGCCAAGAAGGCCATTACAGACAAGGAGGTTACTTAATTGTGGTTAGCCCTTACTCAACTCTATAACTTCAAAACATGAACCTTGGTGAACAAGGCGGCTGTGTGCAGAAACAAGTTGAGTGAGGTACTACCAGGGACATGGTGGGGATCCAACTTGGAACATCTCACTTTTGAAGCAAGTGTTCTACTACTACACCACTACCGCATGTTGCTTAGAATATGCAAGACTAAAGAAGACTAAAAACACATTGTAATTAGACCTGCTTTATTTGTCAAGCCTGAGCCACTCTCCCATTGTTGCAAGGTTGCATTTCTTTTTTTTCTATATATACTACCATGGTACCTGCCTGTTGGTTATTGCCCAGATAGCTGTTAAAAATGTTAAATATTAAAATAAAATAAGCGTATTGAGATGCTTTGCCACAAATACTATGGAAAGGATTTACAAGATTAATGCCATTATGGATAAAATCAGTTTCATGGGATCCTAGTTCATCTTGCAAAGCTAAGTTGCATGGAATTTTATTCCAAGTAGTAACTTTTATTTCAAAAAAATCCCAAGCACACCGCAAAATGTAACAATGCCTATGTTAAAAAAATATACTTACCTTAAACAGATAGCCAAGTCAATCACTCAACCTAAATTCGTTTGAAAACCTGTAGTCAATACTTAATGATAAAATTTAAAAAAAACTTGTGATGAATCTTGTTTTATCATTGTCATTTAAGAGACATATGGAATAGCTTAGAACAATTGTTATGAGCAATTGTTTATAGTATTCCTCAGAGAATTGAAAGCAGTCCTTGCAGCAAAAGATATAATCAAGTACTAATTTAAAAGATTTTGTTCCAAAGAAAATATTGGAATAAGATAGTAATACAATATAATAACTAATAATGATATAATAAGTCAGCTAACAAATTTTTATACTATATAGGTGATACTTTTGCACTTTTTAATGCAGCATTACATTGTAAAATTTTTAATAATTTGACTTTGATTATCTTTAAAAACCTTAAAATATTTTTTTAATTTTATCTTTGAAATCTAAAAAAAACCACAAAGTTCCTTGGCCAGATTTTTTTTAGTGTTAGCTGTATGAATTGTGAACAGATTTTTTTTAGTGTTGGCTGTATGAATTGTGAACAAATAAAGTGTATTCTTTGATATCTTTAAATTGTACTGCAAATATGATTTAGAAATGACATAGACGCGCTTTCTATTGTTAATGTTAGTTTTATCGATAATTTAAATTTTATATCATATGCATTAATTTGTTTGTTGCTTAATGTGCCACACATTGGTGCTTTGTAAACTTTAGACAATCTCTTTTTTTTTTTTTTTTTTTTTTTTGTATGTATTTAGGTGCTCCCAGAAGTCCTTGCGGTCTTATCATAGAGCACCGCGGGAGAGCATTTAACGGGAAGTTCACGCCTCCTTCCGTACCAATGTCGCTTGTAGAACTCTAACCACTGTTGGGCTAGAGATGGCGTCGAACCTCGGACCTCTGGGTTCTGAGCCAGAACTGTAACCACTGCGCCATGGCTGCTCTTGATCTCCTCTAAAAAAAATTCAAAAAAGAATTCTTTAGTTACCAGTTTTTTGCAGTTTTTAATTATTTTCTAATATTAAAAAAATTATGTAAGTTCAATGTATTGTTAAAGAAATATGTTAGATTTGGTAAAAACTGCTAAACTAGCCATATCTTAGCTTAACTAAATAAAATACTTTGCGCTCCTAGAAATAAACAGCAAGGCCTACCTTTCCTTTAAATTAAAAAAAAAGGTTTTTATTATTGTTATTATTATTATGGTTATATTAACTTTTACTAGAAAATAAGGCTTCGCAGTTGCCGGAAGAACCAGTTGACCATTAAAATTAGATTTAATTATTTTTCATTCTTTTTTGGACATAATTACTACATAGCCTGCTATATAGCTACTATAAAGCCCACTACATAGCTTTTAAATAGCCTGATATATAAGTTCTATGTAGCCTGCAGGCTAACCATCCGCTACATAGCTATGATACAACATGCTACAGCATAACTTGTTAGCACACTCAGCTACTATATAGCCAGCTACATAGCTGCTACATAGCAACTACATAGGTACTACATAGGTACTACATAGCTTGTGGGAGAATTAGTCTAAGTTTTAATTTGGCTGTAATTTTTTTAAACTTATTTTTATATTAGGCTATTTTCATATTTGGCAGTACCAGTTTTTTATATTGGGCTATGTAGTACCTATATATTGGGCTTTTAAATAGCCTAATATATAGGTACTACATAGCCTGCTGGGTACCTATATACAAATAAATAATAACCTCTATACAAATAGCATTTGTATAGAAGTACCTGCTGGGTACTTCTATACAAATGCTAAAACATAACCTGTTGTATACATAATATGTTATGTAGGTACTATTACTTGTTACATAGCCCACTCATAACTGGGTCAAATCATTATATTTCAACCAATGGTCTGTGGGTCATCATCTCTGATTTTCCTGATTTTTACATATTGTTATGTGGATTGTGTAGATAGGTTAAATTTTAAATTTCAGACTTCCAAGTACAATGGTTCAGAAATAATAGCGTTAGAAACATGACACATTGGTCCCCCTCAATTTACATATGGTCAAAACAGACTACTTTAGAGCTGTATAACTTTTTGCTCACTTTTATCAAGTGTCTCATTTTTTCTAGAACTATTTTCTGGATAGTTCTCTTTTTAAAAAATGTTTTTTTATTAAACTTGTATTAAATTAGAGAAAAATTATGACCCCCTTAACTTTGGAAAAAATTCTAAAATTGCTAAAATATGCCAAAATGAAACTAACTATAGCATTTTCCTGATCATCCACAAGTCTTTACAGATAAGTTTTCTGATCAGCTAATACTGTCTGCAATAAATAGGCAAAATATAAGCAGCTTGTTGCAGTTTAGAACTCAAATACATCTAAAAGCAAAATGTCCATTTGCCTAAAAAGTCCAATTTTCAGCCATTTTGAGATGCTTGTAGATTTTTCTTTCTGTTTTGATCTAAGATTAACAGCTTATGAGACACCGAAAATGCTAGCATTTTTATTTAACCCTATTTTTCCATTATTAACGGTTGAATGTGTTACTAAAAACCAGTGCCCCTCTAATCTGCTTACTGGCCTATGTGAAGGGTGCAACTAATTATAAGTAATTTTTCAATAAAAAGAAAGATATGGTTTGTTGCCCTCTCCTTGATCTGCTGTTTATAGTAGATAGGGGCACAAATAAATGGGGCAGTAATTTTTTAGAAACATTCATTATGGTTCAAATGAAGGTTTCTAAATTAATTTAGATATTTAGATACTTAATATCTAAATATCTAAATTAATTTTAAATTGAAAGTATTATTTCTTTAAATTCTATTTTATTATAGGTGGTCTGTATGTGGTCTAGTCAGTAGTCACACCACCCCCTCCCTTAAAGGATAGGGCAGGGGAGGTGGCAACCAACTTACAAAGGTACATGCTTTCATTTTCTAACATGAAACATACCTGATTCATTTTCTAATGAATACACAGTTAATGGCCATCAAATCTTTTTTGCATTTTTTCATGCTTTTACCATAAGATTCGAATTTTGATAGTGACATAAAAAATTGACATATAGTCAATTTGACATTGACTATATGTGCCAGATTTTCCATCAAATATTCAAATAACTTTTAAGACATTGTATTAAATGTTAATTCAATTAACTTTTAATCCAATGTCTTAAAAGTTAATTGAATTACTAAAAGTTGGTTGCCCCCTCCACTCTCACAGTTATCCAGCTAAAGTCAAAATTTTGACATGATCCAATCTGTCTAAAAATCACATACAATGTTCTATATATCTAATTAAAGTTCTGGAATTATTTTATTATATTTGTTGTTAAATAATTCTTAATCATCTTTCTGGAATGGCTTTATAATAACAATTTTTTAATAATTATGTTTACATTGTTGCACAATTTTATCAAATTATTTTTGCATTACAACAGGTTTGATTGCTATTTTATTACAATTTAACATTTAGAAGGTAATACTTAGCCAGAGTTATGGATGCTAATGTCATTTTAAGCTGTAATAAATGAATAATAGAATTGGCATAACATAAAAGTTTTATTTCATTATTTAAATGTGCCAAGCTTTTAAAAAAAGCCGAGCTTTTTTTTATTTTATTGTGATATATTTTCAGACATGGTGATCACAAAATTGGATATTCATATATTTTTATGTGAAAATAACAGCATTTTTAATTCTAAAGCTCATGGAAAACTTTGAAGCTATTTAAGTTGCAAACTAAAAGTGGATGTGTCTTGTATCAGCAGTGATAAAATAAATGAATTCACCAAAGGTTATAAAAAAAGGTGGAGAATTGCATACAGTAATAGCACTATATTTGAAAAAAGGTTCATGGATTAGTTAAATGAGAATTATATTGCTGTAAACAAAGAAGCGCACCTATCACTACCACTGCCCCCAGTTACTTCCAGTTCCATGGGAAGGCTAAAAGTACAATTTGAAAAAGCGGGCACAAAAACCAAGCATAGAACAAGTCTGGAACAAGCTGAGTCAAGAATATCAGTAGAGCTAATCTGCTATTCATCTTTAAAAGCAAGAAGGCAGGCCAAAAGATGCACAACTTCTAGGTCAAATGCTCAAAGCTGAGTCAGATAGGTTTTGCTCAGTAGCAACACCATATTCTCCTACAAAAGGTTTAGCTATTTTACTGGATTGTGAGTTAACTAAGCAGGACTATAAAATACTAAGAAATAAAGCCATGACTATTGGGTCCAACATTTATTCAACTTACAATTCTCTAAGAGATTAAAAAAAACTGTATGCCATCAGAATTCGAAATTATAGTATCAGGCTATTCAGCTGAAGTAAGTCTTCAACCGCTTTTAGATCATACAGCTATTTGTTGTGCCTGTTGCAAGAAGAAGTAATTAATTCATTTGATTTATCATATCTTAGACAGCTTACATTGCGACACAAAATTGGATTTGATGGTAGTACTGGGCAGTGTATATACAAGCAGACTACAACTGATGGTGAAAGACACCTTGAAAGTGAACAATTTCTATTTCTCACATGCCTTGTTCCACTTGAACTATCTTGTTTTGTTGATGGCTGTAAACAAATAATTTAGTACAACCATAAGCCATCTTAAACATTAGACTGCCCACTGTGCTTTAGGTTTATTAAAGAAACAATGGGTGCAATAGAAGGGTGGATTAGAATAATGAAATGCTGTCTTCATTTTGCTTATAAATCAGATAACCAAAAGTGGCAGGTGTGTAGCACAAAAGAAAAGTTATCTGCGACAAAAAACAAAAAAAGAATCCAAGATGCCTTTAAAAATCGTCTTGGATTAATTGTGCCCAGATCTGGTGGTTCTGGGACATCCAATGATGGAAATTCAGCTCATCGCTTTTTCCAATCTGAAAGTATTGTGGCTGAAATTTTAAAGCTGGATTTACTACTGCTGAGAAAGTTGCATTTTGTTTTGGCCACATTGTCATCAGCTCTGCAGATGCATTTTAAAATTACTGCCTTGAGGTAAGTTTATTTTTAATATTACTTCTATACGGAGCTGTGGCTAACTTAGCTTTAGTAATTACATAATTGATTGTCTTTTTTAGGTACCTTATTTGTTTGTACAGAACTACCTATGGTATTACTTGCCACAAAGTTTGCACAAGATATTATTACACAGACATGAGGTCGCAAATGCAGTGATTCAAAAACTAACTACAATGTATTGTGCCAACTTTTGTGCTCATCAGACCCAATAATCAGCCGTATGAGGAGGTCAAGTTCTCAAAATTAATAATCTCAACTCCCAGAAGGAGTTAGTGAGTTGCTTCAGGTTCCGGCTGTTGACTCACCCGAAATATGATTTATTATTTTATGCATGTATGCATATTTTATAAATAATTAATGTGTTTCAAATTTTCAATGTTTTTTTGCAATGTTTTTTGTTTTTATTATTAAAGACCTAAATTTTTACCTAAAATTAATTACCTAAATGTTTAATAGTTATTTAAAATAGGTCGGTTGAAAATCCGATAAAAATTTATTCAAAAATCCATTTATCTGTGTGTAATTAAGGAAAGTATCTGGTTGTTAAGCAATATAAGTATCCATAATTAGAATATCCAACTAAATTAAAAAAATTATGAGTTCCATATAAAGTATGACCTCATATTGATACTCATGCCAAATTTAGTGAGTATAGCACTCATGAAAAATCTGCAACTACCAAAAACAGGTTGCTGAGCAAAATTAGGTATCCATAGTAACCAAATATAAAAATGTTACTTTCATAAGAAGCACAGACCACATATTAGTACTTATGCCAAATTTAGTAAATAATGGCCTAATATTTAATTAGTTTTCAATTTTGTCCATTAAAAGTGAATTCAAATCAAAAGGGGGTAAACCATAATGAAGGTCTCTATAAAATTATTGTCCCCTTTATTTGTGCCCTTATCTACTATAAACAGCAGATCAAGGAGAGGGCAACAAACCATATCTTTCTTTTTATTAAGAAATTACTTATAATTAGTTGCACCCTTCACATAGGCCAGTAAACAGATTAGAGGGGCACTGGTTTCTAGTAACACATTCAACCGTTAATAATTGAAAAATAGGTTAAAATAAAAATGCTAGCATTTTTGGTGTAAGTTTGAAAAATTTAAAATGTTTAGGTTTTCAGATAGTTGGGTCTAACGGTCTTATATGCTGTTAATCTTAGATCAAAACAAAGTATTAGAAAATCTACAAGCATCTCAAAATGGCTGAAAATTAGACTTTTTAGGCAATGGACATTTTGTATTTAGATGTATTTGAGTTCTAAACTGCAACTATATTTTGCCTATTTATTGCAGACAGTATTAGCTCATCAAAAAACTTATCTGTAAAGACTTGTCGATGATCAGGAAAATGCTATAGTTAGTTTCATTTTGGCATATTTTAGCAATTTTAGGATTTTTTCCAAAGTTAAGGGGGTCATAATTTTTCTCTAATTTTCCTGATTTTTACATAACAATATGTAAAAATCAGGAAAATCAGAAATGATGACCCACAAAGTTTTTTTCAAATTGGTTGAAATATAATAATTTGACCCAACTACTACATAGCTACTACTTAAGCCCGCTACATACCTGTTTATAAATTATAATAATACAATATGTGTTAAACAAATTTAAATAAATTATATTACACTAATTAGTTATGTAAAAGCAAAAGTTACAAAAGCAAAAAAAAAAATTTAATAATAAATAATTTTAAATGAATTACCTGATTCTCAATATTAATTCAAAAGTTGTACACGTTAATTTGAGTTCAAAAGACTTCAAATATAATGCAATGTTTTTTTTTTAGTATTTAAAGACGTTTTTTGTTTTTTTACTAAAACGACCATAAATCTTTATTAATTTTTTTTTTTTTTTTTTTTTGCTAGATCACTTTCAAATTGATTATAAACAAAGTTCATTTTTTACTTTTTTTTTTATGTAACATAATTTTCGAGTTTACTTTGAACAACGAAAATGTCCTCAGACAGATAACCGCTATGTCTTTATATAAGTATAGTATATATATATTTTATTGGAATTCAACAACTCAGTATTATTTCTCTTATTTTGATTAGGGACTGAAAGGTTTTTCACGTGGATATTTAAGTATGTTGATTCGAGAGGTAAGGTTTTTTTCACAATGATATTTTAGCATGTTGATTCGAGAGGTTAAAGTAATCGATTTATAGAAAAAACTAGTTTTGTTATAAATAAATTATTTTATTGTTTATATGTAGATACCATTTTCATTAACGCAGATGCCAATATGGGAATTTCTTAAGGTACAGGATTCGTTAAATTTTGTGAATTTTTAAAGGTTGAAAAAATACTGCAAATAATGATAGAATAAATAACTATGTAATATACTAAATGTATTTAAAATATTATATACACAATACACAATACAATAAATTTTATATTATATTATATAATATAAAAAAAAAGAAGTTTATAATATATAATATTAATAATACAATATACTATCTAAAAATCTTTTTAATATTTAATTATTACTGTTAGATTATTTTTAATTTAATTTTTAGCTATATTTTTAATATACTAATGTTTATAATATTTATTAAAGTTCTTCAAGACCTTTGTGTTTGACACATGCTATATCTAAATAACGTTTTCTCAATGAAAAAATCTTCCACATGCTTGATATTGTGTTTGGCACAACAAGACAACTGTAAGCTGGATGAAAACCTTTGAAATTTAGATAAAAAATGAAAAATCCCATATTTCAATAACCTTAATTATATAATTCTTAAAAAATCTCATATTTATATTAGCTTTTAATTTTTAGAAGCTTTAAAATAACTGGATTTTTTTTTCAATACTAATTTTAATATTTTGATAATCCGATATTTATTATGTTTTAGAAACAAGTTTCTTTATATAATGGAAGTGATGTAACTGGTTTTGAATCAGGCTTATGTGGTTCGGTTGCCGGTGCTGTTAGTGCTGCTATTACAACTCCACTTGATGTTGCAAAAACAAGAATTATCCTTGCACAGGTTTTTTTGTATTGAAATTTAAAATGAATTGTGTAACATAACTCTGACGACATATCTATTTAATCTACTTAGTTGTTCACTCTGATTTTTCAAGATTTTTCAAGTTCACGCTGATTTATCATATTTTATGTTCAGTTTAAACTGGTGGAACCAAAATTTATTTAGAAAAGTAAAACAAAAGTTTAATGAAAAAAATAAAATAAAATTACAATTTATATTTTGATAAAAACTTAAGAAAACCATAAGCGTATGAAAAGCTCGAACAAAGTAAACAAATTTAAGATGTGGATCACAGAAAACAAAATAGACGAAGTTAACATGTGGACGACAGAAAACAAAATAGACGAAATTAAGATGTGGACGACAGAAAACAACATAGACGAAGTTAACATGTGGACGACAGAAAACAAAATAGACGAAATTAAGATGTGGACGACAGAAAACAAAATAGACGAAATTAGGATGTGGGCGACACAAGGCTATAATAATAAGTTTTATATTATTGTTTATATAATTTTTTTTTTTTTTAAATAAAAGTATTTTACATTAAAGAACACGTGTTTAAAGACATCAAGTAATCCTTTTCGTGTTGTAGTGCAGATTTTTAAAAATGAAGGAATAAAGGGGTAAACATTTTTATGCTAAATAATTTTGTCACTTGTAAAGATTTCTTATTTTTATGCAAAACAGTTTTGTCAAGAGTAATAATATAATGATTAAGTTATATGTTGACTTCTTGAAATTTTTACATTCAATTTTTTTTATTTCAGGATTTTTGCCGGTATTGTCCCTCGTGTTGTTTGGATATCAGTTGGTGGGTTTATTTTTCTCGGTGCGTATGATGAGATGAAAATTTTATTGAATAATCAAAACCATCCAACATAGTTGATGATCATATAGGAAGAATTTTCATTCACATTCGCGAATATATGTGAAATATGGAAATTAATAATTTAGAATTAATTAATTTAAAAAGCTTTATTTGTTTTTATTTGATATTGTTGATGCGGACAATTTGAAATAATGCTAGTTAAAAAAATTACAACTAAATCCTTTCTCTAGAAATATGCGTGAGAGTAAGGGCCTAGGTCCTAGTTAATAAGTTTTTATACTCTTGTATTATTAAATAGTAAACATTGTTTTAACTTTTTTTTAATTTTTTTTTATTAAAATCAATCTTGTTGCTTGTGTTTAACAATTTTCCATATAATTCTAACCCTGACCAAATCCTAACCCATGATTTTTAAAAAAACTAAAAAGAATTTTAATTTTTAAAAAAATGTTTACGTTACAAAAGTTTACATTACGTTACAAATGTTTACTTTCGAGAGTTTTTGTATTATTTTAATATAATTGCTCTAACCAGTTGACCACTCTACTCAAGTTCGTCTAATAAAATGTAAAAAATAAATCTGATACTCAATCAAAAACATTCCTATACCATCGGAAAAACACTATAAATTAAAACTACTCGAGAAAACCGAATCGTTTTGAAAAAGAAAAAAAAAAGTGATGGAAAGCATTTTATTTTATCAACAACAATTTAGCATGCAAAGATAATAAGGGCTATATAAGTTATGGAATTAATTAAGCAAAATGCCCGCCTCAATTAAAAGAAATGTCTTTCGAGAAAGACGTAATATATCTAATTAAAACAATAAAGTTTAGATGAGTCAAAAATGCGTTTCAAGATACTATAAAAAAATGTAAAATTAGTACATATGTCAAACAAAACTTATATAAAAGCCGACAAAATATCAAATATGTATAAGTTATCTAAAGAAATATATAACCACCTTTTAAAAAATGCTATTACTGCCACCTACAAGAGAACTGATAAAATAAATAAAGGCAAGCATGTTTTGCAAAACCGTGATGTTTATGATAAAATCAAGATAAACGGGTTTTTAAATGTTTTTTTACTTTATGACTTTTAAATCTAGCAAAAAATGAGATAAGAAAAATAAGCAAAATTATTTTATCAAAAATTAACTATGAACTCTGAAGTAAGTTATTTATTAACCAATGGCAAAGCACTTTAAACGTCACTGATTGGTTTTTGAAAATTAAGGATAAACATCTTCACAAATTTTTAGTTTTCGACATCAATGATTTTTATCCTTCAATAAGTGAAAAAATGCTTAACAATGCAATCAACTTTGCCGAACAACATCTAATAATAATTGCTGAATACAAAACATTAATAAGCAAGAAAATCTTTACTTTTTAGCAACAAAGATGCGTGAATTAAGAAAAAAAGTGGACCCTTTGATGTTACAATGGCCGCTTACGATGGTGCTGAAGTATGTGAGTTAGTAGGAATTTTTCTTTTATTCTAACTTTCGCAGTATTAGAATAGAGATGATTTTGTCTATATCCTGATGACGGACTGGCGATATTTAAAAACAAAAATGGCCAGCAAATGGAGAAAATCAAAAAACATTTTGTAAAAATTTCTAATAGTAACGATCTTCTTATTTCTATTCAATGCGATATGAAAATATTTAACTATCTCTATTTACTATTTATTAACTAATGAACTTAAAACAATTACTACACTTAATGAGTTTGAGAACAAAAACTACTGATGAACGACGTAGTGCCCAGCTTTTTCTGAAGTTTTAATGCTACTATTAAACTTACCCAACAATTTTTATAATTATTAAAAGAAATGATTTTTAGAGTTTTTTATGACACAATGGAGTACTATTCTACAGTTTTAGGGCCTCCTACAAATACTGTATCAAGTTACTCCATACTTGCTAATAGGAAACAATCGCATTATTTTTAAAATCAACTTATTTTTTCAATGATTTTGTTTAATTGTTTTTTCAATGATTTTGCTTATGGATTGTAGTTTACTAAATAATGTTATTTACCGATAGACACATTGAATAAGATACTTTAAAACTTATGAGCTTTAAAAATTAATAAATTACTTTGTCATTAAAAATACACAAATTTCAATCCCTCGCAGGCCTAATGATGTTAAATGATATAATTTTATTTTCAAAACATAGCTCTAGTAGAAACTGTTTCACTGTATAAAAGTGGTTTTTACAACTCTTAAGATGCCGCCAGAATTACAATGTTTCATGGTGCCCCACTCTCCCCTGCATCTTTTATTACGTTAGAAGACGTTCTACAGTAATTTTTAATTCGTTTGTAAAAGAGTTTTTTTTTTAGCGGTTTTTTTTATGTATTTAATAATATATATATATATATATATATATATATATATATATATATATATATATATATATATATATATATATATATATATATATATATATATATATATATATATATATATATATATATATATATATATTGTGTTATATAATTAGTAGAGCAAATAATATAGTGAAAACTGAATAATTGTATCTTAAAAGATAGTATCTTAAACAGTTTTATGGATAAACTTTTTCATGGTGATGTTTTTAAATGGAATTAGTTTTTTTTCTTACTCTGTAGAAGAGTTCTGGTTCACTTTCTACCCCCTCTGACCAAAGGAATCGACAAAATTCAATTTGAATTTTTTCTTTTTCTAACCAGTTTCTGTATATTCTTCCCAGTTTATAACGAGTTTCTGTTTAGTTGTTTAAATCTTTCCTTAAATAAATCACGAAAATCACAGTAAGGCCCTCATATGTATTTGATACTTTTCTGCTCAAATTGTTTAACATAATGCTCACTTTGATATTTAAATATCGTTTGTTGAAGATAAAAATGAAACCTTGCTCTTTCATTGTTTTGATATCGACATTAAAAAAAGTTAAAAACTGGATTATTTCATGTTTCTTTTCTGGTCGGGGTTTTCAGTGACCTCTTTGAAAAACGAGTTTTAGCATTTTTATTTTGCTTATCAAGTAATTTATGAAGTTATTATTATTATTTTTTTAAATATTTCAGATTACATTTGTTTGTTCGTTTTTATAATATAATGAGAGTAAATAAAAAATTAATACAAATTATAAAGTAAGCAAATACTACTAACCAAGGTTTTTGGTTAGTAGTGCCTTGGTTAGTAGTATTTGCTTACTTTGTAATTTGTATTACAAAGTAAGCAAATTGGGGTGTGGGGTGTGTGGGGGTGTGTGACACCCCCCTATCAATGATTTTTAGTCGGCAAACTGGACCCTTAGTCGGCAAATCGAACCCTTTTAGACTAGTTAGTCGGCAAATGTGGACGATCTAGACAGTCGGCAAATGTCGTAATGGCAGTCGGCAAATTTTGGAAAACGAGGACCTTTTTTTTTTTTTTTTTTAGTCCGCAAAAGTTGTAATGGCACCCCCCCACGTGACACCTACTCGCGCCGGCCCTGCTACTAACATTTGAAAAACTAGTTATCTGAAAGAAGATCAGTAAGATCTTATCGTCAGAACCTTATACTAGTGTAAACATAATAATATTAGGTTATAAAGTAACTATAAATACAACAAAATAAAAATATAATATACATACATACATCACTTTGTAGTATAGATAATGAAGTTTAATAAATATTTCTATAATATAAATATTATTGTCAAATTTTGATAATACGGGAGAGAAAAAGATTTTTCAGCTTAACTTTAAAAAGATGCAAAGAAGTAGGTAGATCAAAATTAAAATTAGGCAAAACAATTTTGTTCCAAAGATGGGGTGCACAATAATCAATGCAAAATTGGTTAAAATTTATTCGACAAAAAGGCTCATATAGAAGGTTGTTATTTCTTAGAGAGTATTTATTGGTAGGTTTCAAGGTAATTAAATCATTAAAAACGGCAGTAGAAAGATTGTTTTTACATATATATATACAAAACATAAAATATTAAAAAATTATTAAGTTCGTAAACATTAGGTATTTCAGAAAAAAAGTTGTTTAGAGTGAGAAAAAACGATCAGCAAATTAATGTGTTGCATGTTTCTGACATGCATACTTCCATCTTTTATGAAGTTATTTCCATCAGTGTTAAGATTAATAAGTTTTAGATGGAAAAAAAATTATTTTTTTATTGGTGTTAAATTATGAAGCTGATTGTTCATTTTATGCCTTCTAGTGCCATCACTACTTCTAGCGCCATCACTACTTCTAGTGCCATCACTACTTCTAATGCCATCACTACTTCTAGTGCCATCAATTTTTTGCCATTTTAATTGCCAACCAAATTTGATTTAAAGTATTAACTTTGATAGTTTTGACAATGATATTGGAGTTTACTCTAATATAATGATCAGAAAAGGAAATTATTCTAAGAGGAGTGATCAAATTTTTAAACTTCTTTCCAATATGAGTAAAAATCCTATTTGGTTTTAGCATTTTTTTTAAAAATCCTATTTGGTTTTTTTTCAGCTGTCTGTGTGCAAGGAAATAACTAAAAATATTTTGATATCAGCAAGTTTATATATATTTTTCCGAAGTTTTTCTGTTCTTTGAACTTTTGACTTTTGAGAGATATAATCTCAATTTTTCTTTGCGTGTACATTCTTCTGAACTGTAGTCATCAGTTAGATCATCTTGATCTGATTCAACTTCATTAAATGATTGCAAAACATACATAGGTAAAAGTTAACAGAGTTGTATTTAATATTGATATCTATACTCTAGAATGAAAGTACAATTTTATCTAAAATAATTGAAAGAGATTCTTTAATAATTATGCTCGCTCGATTATTTATTTTATCCATTTAAAGATTATGTATAGATTTGTAATTAAATAGAGTTAAAAAATCTATTTATAGTAAATAAACTTATCCTTGTGAAACTCTTTTAATATAATACAATATTTTTAGCGGTTATATATACTCTCGTTATTCAAGTAACCTAAAAAACCATTAAAAAAATAATATTTATTAAACTTCAAAGTAATGTAATAAAATAAAAACTCCCATTATGTATGTAACTTTTTATTTTTAAATTGATTTTCAAGAGAGTGATGTTAAAGATGCCCTAGTTAAACTCTTTAAAGATGTATTTTAAAATTCAAAATAAT